CTTTGCCATATTCTCTGTAGCTGGTCTCAGCTATTTCTCAGCATGTTTTTGGAAATTGGAAGAGGGATTGAATGCCTTACTTGAGCATGATTTCACTTGGCTCAGCCTGATTTATACTTAAGATTGTATTCCTTCCTCCAGAGACAGTTGGGATATTGTTGGAGTGATTGTTTAAAAATATAAAGCCATGCACAAATCCAGTTACTTGAATGGAGTGAGATGCTGACAGCCTGAGCAAAGTGGAAAGGGAAATAAAATACTGAACGTGTTAAAAATGAGAGAGAGGCAGAAAAATGACAATCATGGATGGAGTATTTGAAGAAAACTAGAAATCAAACAAAGATGGATCACATCCAGAGAAGATGTGATTAAAAAAAGCCAGCTGACTTTGAGCATGTCTTTTCTCCTCCATTTTACATCATCTCTTTGATTTAACAGACAAGCAATCCAGGAATGATCTTGGAGAAATAGATGGCTGGAATGTTACAAAGTTATTTTAAAAGAGAACTGCTCATAATTTATTCTGTTCTTTATCATCCATATCTGAGAGCTTTGAAAACATGACCACATAGCTACCGGAGTGTTCTCTACATCTTTGTGTGCCTCAGATAAAATGGGTTATGCTCCAGATTTCTTGGTCAAAGAATAAATGATGTTTGAAACTCTTCCTCTCTTCATATTTTGCTGTCTGAGGAAATGTTCCCAGGAATTCAGGCCATGTTCAGAGCAGCTGAAAATCTGATCTGGCCTTAGAGCAACCAGAACTGGAAAGAAGTTACTTTAACCTCAGTAATTTTTGAAGTTACAGTAGCGGCCGCAAGGAACAAACTTATAAACTGGAAGGAAATGAGATCAAAGACCACCACTGTTTTGTTTTGTTTGTGTTTTGTTTTTTAAGGAACTTTACATCATGGTTAAGATGAAGAGTCACTGGACCAGCATATGTTTACTTTCTTATTAATTTGCTCCAAAATTCTGACTAAGGAAGCATCCTCTAGAACAATGCCTGGTCTGGATTTTCTGAATCTTTATAGCAACTGACATTTCATGAACTATAAACATGACTCCTAGATGTCAAGAAACTCTTTAGTTCAGTTGTCTGCCTTTGTAGCAGGGGAGGGGGACGTGCTGCTTGGAGACTGAACAGCCTTGGATCCTCTCTGTGATTCATTCTGTGTCCTTCAGTTTATGCTGCCCAACTCTTACTCTCCTGAACTTAGAAGCTAAGTAATGTTAGTCAAAGTCAAAGCATGGCCAAGTGCCTGCTACACTCAGCTGAATTTAGTTCAATAACATCAGATCTCCAGGGCTATCATCTATTACCCAGATAATATATATCATATCTTCATCCAGAGATTTTTCGACCACCGGAGACGTGATGAAGCATCTCGAGCAGCTCATTTGTGGAAGCCCGAGCCAAATATTGATGTCCTTGAGGAATGAGTCTCATGGCAAGTAAATTCAAAGTTAAGACGAGGGATTGAGTTCTCCTAGGAGTGGTACCAGCACCTCTGTACACTTGATAACGTATCTGAACCCTGTCTGTGCCTCCCCACCTGCCATGTGAGATGAGGATGATGTGTCCAAAATATTTGTTAAGCAATCAAACTGTATTCTCTGCTTTAAAAGAGTCATAGACTACTTGAATAAGGAATGCAGGAGAGGTGACTTTAAGGGACCAGGCAGCCTGCAAGAGGATCATCTCAGTTCTATCTACATGAGTGAATATGAAGATACCATAAGATCCCCTCCTGTTGCTTTCTCTTGACATCCCTCATTATAATAAAAATTGAGGACCCAGCACACCTTGGGGACTGCACATGTCCAGAGAGAGGTAATCTAAGAGTCATCCACTGAGTTCTTTCCAGAGACAACTCCTGATCCCCTTACTAAGAAGATGATGCAGTCAGCGCTGATGAGACCTCATAGGCTAGGTTCAGATAGAAGGGGAGGAGGTCCTCCACTACAGTCATCTAGGGAAGGGGCACAGGGGGAGAAGAGGGAGGGAGGGTGAGACTGGGAGGAGACGAGGGAGGGCTACAGCCAGGATACAAACAGAATAAATTTAAATAAATAAATAAGGAAGAAAGGAAGGAAGGAAGGAAGGAAGGAAGGAAGGAAGGAAGGAAGGAAGGAAAAGAAAAAAAAGAACAAAATCGAGGACTGTACTTATGCTCTGTCAGCTCTCCTCAACTTTTCTCTTCAGGTCACAGGTAAATCCCCAAGATAGATGCTGCATATTCTTTTCTGACTAGCTGTGAAAAAAAATTCTTTACCTCACTTCCCTCAAGTGTGAAAATCAAACACAAACAGTGTCTATCACACAACATGTGAAGATTAAAACGATCACAACTAAAGAGCTTTGCACCAGCCTGACAGATACACAGCCGAAAGGTGTTCACCATTGCAGTATAACTCCAAAGCCTTAAAAAGAATGTCCCCTGTTCTTTTCCCTTCCATTGCATTATTTTGATAGTTAATCTTGATGATAAATAGGACTGGAGAGAGGAATGCCTTGGAGATTAATGGAGCACACTCAGAAGTCCGTGAGCCTGTTTTAGAGATTATCAGATCAGGAGAGCCTTACTTAATGTTGTAATCCATGGATAGAGTCAGACTTCAGGTAGACTATTGGGAGGAGAAGAAACTGTAGAAGGTTGGTAGCAGAAGTGACTCTCTCTCTCTCTCTCTCTGTGTGTGTGTGTGTGTGTGTGTGTGTGTGTGTCTGTATCATTTTGAAGGGTGTATCTTTCTTGGCCCCTTCCTATCACCCCTGCTCCACGTACTGTCTACCATGAGATGAACATATTTGCTCTGACATGTGCTGCGTTCTGTGTGCTGTTCTGCACCACCACGACCCGAAACAGCAGAGTCAGGTGACCCTGAACTGAAATCTCTAAAACCACAACTCTCCCCTCTGACGGATTTTCTCCATTATTTCATGACAGGGATGGCCACTATAACACAGTTACCATCGATACAGGCATATGATAGGTTATCCATACATGCCAGCAAAGTACCAGCACCACACATATGAGTCCCTACTCCTCTGAAGATGTTTGTTTCCCCTACACAGAGTTATTCCACTCAGCAGTTTCACATACCTGCATTCCTCCCTTATTTGGTAATGAGTTTACCACCAAATTAACCAAGACTTTACTTCTATGCAGACACTGTTAGGATTCAGCTATGAAAGCAGTTTTCATCCACTAGCTTAATTCCAGGTGAAGTTAGGTATTTGCCAATGGTCTGTCATACAGGATGTTGGTTCCATCACTATGGTAGAAGCTCACCAGGACCTAATTCTGGCCATCTGCTAACATTTTAAAGATGTGAGTCTCTGAAGCAAGCACCATGAATCTAAATAGGTTCAACTCCTAATTTGTCAGTACCGCTCACAACTCATTGTATTTTTAATGTAGTGCCTCAAAATGAGAAAAATTTGATGGAAAGACTTACCGTAATATTTTACAATACAAATAAAGCTCATCCACATGTCCAATTTATAATTTTATGCCAGTTAATACATTCTAATTTTGGCTGCATTGGTTGTATGGACGGAATTTACAGAAATATTCAGATCGTAAAACATCTGCTCCAATTAAAGGAATTTCAAATTTGTTTTATCACAACAGTGTCAGTCTTGACACTGAGCTCAGAGTTTTGGTTCTTGGCCGTATTCACAGAGAGATGCAATGGAAGTTGCAACATTGTATACAAAATGTTGCCTTTTCTAAGGGAGGTCTCACAGAAGTGTTTTACCAAATCACTATAGATCAAAAGCAAAGTGAAAGTTTGTCTGATTAAACTGAAGGGCTGAGGAAAAGACAGAGTTAAAATCCTGGAGAAAGACAATGGATCCTTGGGACAAATCCCACTACACAGAGAACCATCAAGTACCCACTGCCCTGAGCTGAGGAGATTTGTCCACAATCCAGTCTATCAGCAGGAAACAAGATGGGCAGTGAAAAAGAGTCATTCTTTGTGGAAAGCCTCTGATTTAAAGATAATGTAGTGTAGGTGGGAGGCGGGTGAAGTGAAAACTGATTTTCTTTTAATGCATGTATTAATAGCATGCTGAAAGAGTGCTAGAAAGTAATCACACAACCTCAGCCATTCTGAGTGAAAAGATACCTGGACAAGATAGAGTGGTGATGCTCCGAAATAAATGACGCTGAAAGCACAACTTCACTTGAAACGGCAGTAACAAGGCCGACATAAAAAGAGTCCATTGTCTTTTTATGGATAGAGTTGTTTAAGCACAGGGAAGACGGAAGTTCAGCTGAATCGCCTTGGATGTTAGGGAGAGCTTCTGTAAACCAGGTGAGCAGAGACACAGAGTACGGCACATAGAACACATATTCAATACCTATCCCAGAAAAGAAACAAAGTGGAAATCTATTAACTACTGACTATGCATTGGTTTTTGGAACGTGTTTTATCATTTTACAAGAAAGAAAGAAAAAGAAAGAAAGAAAGAAAGAAAGAAAGAAAGAAAGAAAGAAAGAGAGAGAGAAAAAACTAAATTCCAGAGAGTGAAACTATTTCTTAGTAACGCCATCAGTAAGTGGACAGCTGAAATTATAATCGAAAGTTGATTAGAGGGCCAGCCTTCTTATCTCAACCACTAAAGTGTTAAGGCGGGTTTACTGGATTCATGTGTACCGGGTTCAAGTCCCCATCATACAGCTTTCTAGATCAAGTGAGCTGCATGGCCTCTTACAACTAAGTTTCTCACGTAGAGAAAGAGGATGCTGTTGACACTACTTTCGTAGACTCATCATTACACTAACTGCAGTGCGAAGATTGGAAAGCACTTTGCACAGACTGTGTGGTATGCTAAATAATAAACATTAGTTATTAGTATCTGTAACAGTTCATGGCTCTGACTGTGTATTCTGATTTCATGCTGACAAAAACATGCATTTTTCTTTCCAAAATCCTTTTAAAATACTAAGCTTTGTTTTTATGACTTGTTAAATAATAACCATTATGCTTACCATCAGTGGCTGGAGAGACAAGAAGGGAGGTGCTACTGTGTGATGAACTTTGAGGTGTCTGGAGACAGGTGACCAGCTTTAATCTAAATTTAATCAGATATAGCCTTTATTTAGCGTTTAATCAGTATAGCCTTTGACAAACACAAACTACATAGCATTTTTATGGAAGAATATGATACTAAGAATTGAACCCAGAGCCTTAGTAGGTGCGAGGCAGGGGCTTGACCATAGACTACCTTCCCATCTTAAGCCAGTTAGTGTCCTCAGGACTACACCTGCATTGCAAGAGAGTTTCTAATAATATCTCCTTTTCAGAGAGGATAAGGCTTGAAAGTATTTTGTAAACTGTAAGGCACTGTACAAATATTAGTTATCATGTTAACACCGTAAGATGATTTGAGAAAGGCAAAGGAGCAACACATTGCTGGCGAAGTTTGAAGAGCTTTCTAATTCGAGAGTTGTTGCAGACACCATTAAGAATTGAGACACACAGTACTAAATTTAGTTTAAAACAAACAAGAAAATGTAACGTTATTCAGCCTTAAAAAGAACCGTAGCCAGCTGTGTGTGAGCAAAGGACTCTGAGAACCTGGAGAGTCATAGTGTGGATGAGTGACCCAGCGGTTACAGTCAGTCAGAAAACAGGTAGGAGCTTCACAATGTCAGGCAGTGTTGAAAAGGGAGCTTCTATTTTTGAGCTTGGATAAAGAGACAATGGCTGCTTTGTTTCTTTTGAGACAATGCCTGTGGAGCACCCTTCTGGGAATTGCAGGTCAGCAAGGGGGGGGGGCACAGTACGTTATCCGACAGACACACACACACACACACACACACACACACACACACACACAGACACACACACACTACTGCAGGTTCCACCTCTGAAGCAGGAATGAGTGTAATTGGAGGAGGAATGTCTGCAGAGCACCACATTTGCAGCTTTGTGGGTCAACAAAATGTCCCTCAGCTATTTTTGTCCTTGTGTCTTGGGGTTTGGGACACACCACCTCTGCACATTATTTACCTTAGTATTCACACACATGGAAAGGAACCAGACATCTTAACAGCAAATAGAGAAGAAAGGCTGGAAGAATGCAGTGATGAGGAAAAGTCACTTTGAAAATACTTGCTTTTACTTTTTTATTGTTTTGAGATAGAATTTCTGTATGTGGTCTAGGCTGGCCTCAGATTCACCTCAGCTTCCTCTTTGCCTCAGCCTCCCCAGTACTGAGTTTATAGCCAGGCACTGCCACATGTGGCTGATGATAAAACCTGACATGGCAATCTGTTACAGAATGAAGCAAGATTTCATCCATTAAAGATTTAAAGAGGAGCCTTAAATAGCAGCAGTAGGAAGACATGGATAGAGTAGACAATCTTTCTCAGCAGGAGGTCCTACCACAGATTTTGCTGAGGTGTAACCCTAGATACAGTTCTAGACTGCGACCTTCCTCCATGCCGAGGAACACTTATTCTAGAGGCTGACATACCATACTGGCTCCATTTCCTGCTTCCTTCTCCCTTTCCCCGATATCTCCTTGTGCATCTGCACCTGCTCTTGCACAGCGGAGGAAGGGTAGTGGGAAAGGCACCAGATTCTGTATGGTGATTTGTTGTATCGGAGAGTGAATTACGAAATCAGATAATGCCTGTCTACCATCAGGCCCCCTTAGTCTTGCTAGAACCTGGCCCAACTTCCCATTCAACACTCTGGTCTCCGATTGATGTTCAGATACCCCTTTGAGTAGGCAGGTTTTAATTGATCTTCTTTTGTCGCCTGGGCTTTCTTCCTAATTGCTCTTGCCCCAAAAGTAATGTGGGCGGAGTATTCTTCTTTGGGTCATTTTGGTGCACTGAAATGCATCCCACAATCAGCTGTGTAAACAGGACATTTATGATTGATTATGAATTGATGAAATGCCAGGTCAGCGCCTTTAAATGTAAATGTTCTAAAAGGGTTAAGATGAAAGCAAATCAGAAACCAGGGTTTTAAAAACGGCATCGGATGCTTATATATTAATCTGAAATAAGGTTTACATATATTTTATTTTGAAGTTATAATCACATAAATTTCTCCTTCCCTTCCCCTTCTTCCTCTTGCATAGCCTTCTTAATCTTTATCAACTTCATGGCCTCTTTTTCTTTAACTTTTTATATCATACATTACTAAATACATAGATATACCTTGCTTTGTATGTATACAACTTCAAAGCTGAACACTTGGTATTGGGTTGAGAGGCTACACCCATGATACTGTTTTAAGTCCCATTAACTTAGAACAAAAATGTTAAAATGTCTGAACTCTATTTAATTATAGGGGTCTAGGTTGCAAACAGCAATGAGACAAATACTGGAAATCATTTCAGTGTTCAATAGGCTCTGCATTTGAATACTTGGTCCCCAGTTGGCGGATGTTGGGGAGACAAACTGTGCTGGTCTATCTGAATGCCTATATGTATAAAATGCAAATAGACCCATATTTATCACCCTGCACAAACTAAAGTCCAAGTGGATCAAAGACCTCAACATAAAACCAGACACATGAAATCTCTTAGAAGAAAAATGGGGAAGAACCTTGATCTCATTGGCACAGGAGACAACTTACTGAAGAGAACACCAACAGCACAGGCTCTAAGATCAACAATCAATGGATGGGACCTCATAAAACTGAAAAGCTTCTGTAAAGCAAAAGACACTGTTGTCAGAACAAAACGACAGCCTACAGACTGAGAAAAGATCTTCACCAACCCTACATCTGACAGAGGGCAAATATACAGAATATGTAAAGACCAACAAACTAAGTAACCCAATTAAAAATTGGGGTACAGAGCTAAACAGAGAATTCTCAACAGAGGAATATCAAATGGTAGAGAAACACTTAGAGAAATGCTCGTAGCAGCTTTATTCATAATAACCAGAAACAAGCCAGATATCCTTCAATGGAGGAATAGATACAGAAATTGTGGAACATTTACACAATGGAACACTACTCAAAAATTAAAAACAAGGATATCATGAAATTTTTAGGCAAATGGTGGGATCTAGAAAAGATCATCCTGAGTGAGGTTTCCCAGAAGCAGAAAGACACACACGGTATATACTCACTTACAAGTGTATACTAGACCTAAAAGATAGGATAAACATACCAAAATCTGTACATCTAAAGAAGCTAAGCAAGAAGGAAGATACTGGGTAAGATGTCAATCCTCACTTAGAAATACAAACAGGATGGACTCAGGAAGAAGGCGAAAACAAGAAACAGGACAGAAGCCTACCATAGAGGGACTCTGAAAGACTCTTCCCAGCAGTGTATCAAACAGATGCTGAGACTCATAACCAAACTTTGGACAGCGTGCAGGGAATCATATGAAAGAAGGGGAGTTAGTAAGACCTGGAGAGGACAGGAGCTCCACAAGGAGAGCAACAGAACCAATATATCTGGGCACAGGAGTCTTTTCTGAGACTGGTACGCCAACCAAGGACCAAGGTTCATTCATGGATATAACCTAGAACCCCTGCTCAGATGTAGCCCATGGCAGCTCAGTGTCCAAGTGTGTTTCTCTAGTAAGGGGAACAGTGACTGTCTTTGACATGAACTCAGTGGCTGGCTCTTTGACCAACCCCCCCCCCCCCGAAGGAGGAGTAGCCTTGCCAGGTCACAGAGGAGGACATTGCAGCCAGTCTTGATGAGACCTGATAAGCTAGGGTCAGATGGAAGAGGAGGAGGATCTCCCCTATCCATGGACTTGGAGAGGGGCATGGGAGGGGATGAGGGAGGAGGGTGAGCTTGGGGGGGGGGCATGAGGGAGGGAGTTACAGCTGGGATACAAAGCGAATAAAATGTAATTAAAGTAAAAAAGAAAAGAAAAGAAATTCTTAAAGTCCTTAGTCATCAGGGAAATGAAAACCAAAATGACCCTGAGATTTCACCTCACACCCATCAGAATAGCTAAGATAAAAAAACTCAAGGGATGATGCATGCTGGAGAGGATGTAGTGAAAGGGGATCCCTCCTCCATTGCTGGTGGGATTTCATTTTTTTTCAGTTAAATAAAATAAAATTAGCGTGTGTGTGTGCTCACGCACATGCTATTGTACATGTTGGGAGCTCAGAGGACAACCACCCAGGGAAGCCAATTGTCTTCTCTACCATACGCATTTCAGGAACTGGCCTCAGGTTCGTGGACTTGGCAGCAAGCAGCGTACTCTCTGAGTCGCTTGCCAGCTCTAATTTTATTTTTAAGGACTCCAAAAATTAGGAAATATCTCCCAACCAGTCTCTAAAAAATGTCGTCAGTGACAAAGCAGAAGAATTAGTTGTGACATAAGATTTTTGTCGTGGTGAGCAAAAGCAGTTGTGCACGGTGAGAAAGGCTTACGTTTATCTCCTTACCCCTATCTGTTTGGAATGCACAACCATATATTGAATGTTCTTGTAAGTTTTGTGCATTCCACTGTTATTTTATTGTTCAACATACTTGTCTTCAGATATACTTTGAGCCAACTTTCAAACCAAAAAAACAAATTGATTATCAACAATATTTTACCTCTCACTAAAATGACAATGCAATCAAAAGCATGAGGACTTGTCAACTCTTCAAGATTGATGTATACAATTGTCAAATCCAGAAGCTAGAGTGAATGACTTTCAACTACCAGTAAGTGAACCTTTCAGGCTGACCTTCTAGAGGATGTGCTTAACTTTCATCAGTTCTTAGCAAAATTGATTAAGAAACAAACCTGAACCTAGGTATTTTTATTTAAAGAAAAGCCACATATATTTTGGGGGACTCTCTGAATTATGCCTGGATAAAGTCTCTATGTCATGAAAAGTGACAAGAGAAAACTGTTGCCCTTGCTGGATCCTACTTAGCATCTGAACATATGGATTGAGCAGTTGAGATGATGAATCAAAATCACCTTAGACTGTGAAGACAGTGGCAGATGGGACTTTAGGTGAGGCTGGATGGACATCGATTGATGTAGAGGTAGGTTAAGAGTTGGGAGATGCCAGGCTGCAGTGAATGCCTTCTGCATAGTTCGACACACTTCTGTGGAGTGCAGAGGGTAGACTCTGATAGGTTAGAAATACATTCCTCTCTGAGATTTGTTTTCTTTCTAATTCTTGTAACTATTCCCTATTGCCCAATATGACAAACAGTATTGTTTACCTGAGAGAAAGTGGTTATCTCATGTTATTAACCAGCTGACTAACTGGCCAAGAAAGTTTTTAGCCCAGAACTGATTCCCTAAGCCCTAGAAATTTGAAGTTAGAAAATATTTCAGATTAAGTAAAACTAGAAAATGAGTTTCTAAAAGTGTGAACAGAAGCTGACAGATATACCAAGTTTCTCAATTGCTAAGGACAAAACTTATATCCATCATTTGAAAACATTCCTTTGTTCTGTAGGGCATTGTGGTGTTAATGGTATCTTTAAGCTAAAAAACAATAAGTAAAGGTGCCTTGTCCGGGTCGATGAAGTTCGGGCCTCCTGGAGTAAATCACAGTGATTTAATTTCCTGTTACTTGGCAGGGACAAAAATGGTTAGAGGCTGCTTGGGACACAGCTTTACCCCTGCTCTCAATCAAGCAGCCTGTAAAGATCATGTATCTGCCCTACCCTTGGCCAAGCATGAATGAGCACACAGCCTAGAAGTGAAAAGTGCTTAAATAAAAGGCATTAAGAGGACATGCCAAACATTGCTTACATGTAAACTACACAGTAAACTTAAAGACCCCAAGGTTCTTCTAGACACTATTCTGCCAGGGAGAGTATCCTGGGTATAGCAGATTCAGACAGACTGAACTATGAGACTGCTTGTACTGTATCTTATTTATGTTATGTCTTTGAACTTTTGTTCCATCAACTACTAATTAGGGATAATGAAATATATCTTTTGAAGATGCTGTAACTGTGAATTAGATAACATATATATATATATATATATATATATATATATATATATATATCTCCAGTGTCTTTATCAGTGGCTTATATAAATTTGGTCATAATTGTTTTTTGATGATACATTTCCAAATAGGAGTTTTGTCACACTGTGCATCTAAAAAAAATACCTTGGGGCAGGATGTATTTTTCCAGTTATCTTTAAATCATGCTTACTGTTACCGCTTAAGATCAGTCATGGCTATTGTTGTCTTGAGCTGGGATCAGTGGAAGCCAGTCCAGAAACTGAAGCAGATGAGTAGATTCTTAGCAAAGACAAAGCTACTTCAAAGAGGAAGAGGTTCAGGTAAGGAGGGTGATGTTAACCCACCATGTAGCATATTTGGGCACAAAGGGTAGGCAAAGGTTCAAGACATAATCATGCAGGACCCACAAAGATGCTTGGCATTGTCTCCAAACTTGGAGGCAGGACAGGCTAAGATCTCCCGGAAGGCTGAAATTTATTACCTGAGATGAGCACCATTGATAGCTCCATGGAAACCCATATCTTCCTTCCTGAAAAGAAGGCGATGGAAGATTATTCATCTGATTTTTATGGTGCCCTACAGAACTAACATCTATTAATACATATTTGACCTTCAATGTCAGGGTAAGGTTTTTATCCACTTAATAGTTCCAGTTAAGAGATCAGGGATGACACATTTGGAAAGATATATCTGAATTAGTTCTCCTTTACACAAAACAGCACCTACTGACATCTTTGCTGGTTTGACTTAGGTGTGGGATCCAGAACTTATTTATGGTTTTCTCAGCAAGGTCTCCATCTCTCTCAATACTACTGTGTTGTTGGAATTTAAGATTGTCGGAGTCAAGTGTGACACTTAGTAGCTAAATTTACGACTGTGGATGAATGCCCTAGCTACGTTTTCTAAATCTCCATTGATCTTTATTACATTGTCTAACCACAGTGGTGTTAAGTGTCCATAAAGATATGGCAATAAATTTTTCCATATGTTTGCATAGTGTTGAGGGAGTCATTCTTTCTCTCTTAGTTTCTATTTATCTGAAAAATAATGGAATTGAGCTAAAAATCTGAGGAGACTTTTCAGCATAAGAAAGAAAATAGTATGGAGTATATTTGGGATAAAACTAGTTCATGAACTATAAGAAGAAAAAAATTTATCCTTGAAGAAAAAGAAATTGCAGAAATATATAATGAGAAGTCATCTCAACACCCCAGGACCACACACACACACACACACACACACACACACACACACACACACACACATCACTGTGCCACTGGTAAGGAGAAAGAACCACCAAAATGGGGCTGATGACACTGTGCTATGTTACCTATGAACAAAAACAGCAATGAAAAACCTGCTTGGTTATCAAGTTTAGGAACTGACAGATGCATAAGCTTCCACAGGGCTATGACCGGCAGTTGCTTTCCATGATTTCAGACTTCTAGAGGACAGAATGCAGTGTTTTATGAAAGCCAGAATGTCTGAGGCAGTACATCTTAATAAAGGTGAGCATTATGGCCTATCATACCTTTCCTTAGACAGACAGGCATTGAACTGGAGAAATCATTCTGAAAAAGTTAGTGATTTCTTGAGTAGCTTTTAGCCTCTTTGAACCAAGAGACTCTCATTGTTACTTCTGAATAATGAAATCGGGACTCTACAGCATTCATGTTCTTCAGCAAGTGGGTGGACTAAAGCTTTGTGTTTGAAGAAACATTGATATCCAAAGTGAGACTGTTGGATCCCTGTGAGATCCAGCCAGAAGCTGGAAACAGCCCAGATGCCCCTCAACTGAAGAATGGATGCAGAAATTGTGGTACATCTATACAATGGAGTATTACTCAGCAATGAAAAATAAGGAAATCATGAAATTTGCAGGTAAATGGTGGGACCTGGAAAGGATCATCCTGAGTGAGTTGTCCCAGAAGCAAAAGATACACACGGTATATACTCACTCATATAAACATACAACATAGAATAAACCCACTAAAATCTGTACATCTAAACAAACTAAGCAAAAGAGAGGACCCTAACTAAAATGTTCAATCCCCATCCTGAAAGGCAAAGAGGATGGACATCAGAAGAAAAAGAAAACAGGAAACAACCTCGGAACCTGCCACAGAGGGCCTCTGAAAGACTCTGCCCTGCAGACTGTCAAAGCAGATGCTGAGCCTGATGGCCAACTGTCAGGCACAGTGAATGGAATTTTATGTAAGAAGTGGGAAATAGCAAGAGCTGGAGAGGACAGGAACTCCACAAGGAGAGCAACAGAATGAGAAAATTTGAACACAGGGAACTTCCCAGAGACTCATACTCCAACCAAGGACTATCCATGGAGATAACCTAGAACCCTGACAATGCAGCCACTTCTGATGAGAACTGATAGACTAAGATCAGAAAGAAGGAGAGGAGGACCTCCCCTATCAGTGGACTTGGAGGGGCATGCATGCAGAAAGGGGGGGAGGGTGGGACCGGGAGGGGAGGACGGAGGGGCTTATGGGGGGATATAATATGAATAAAGTGTAATTAATAAAAGTTAAATAAAAAATTAAAAAAAAATTGGTCCCTAAGGTTTTCAAATTGAGTGTAAAGGGTTCAGACTAAAAATAGTGTACTGTTACTGAAGACTATGACCTCACATCTCTCTGAATAAGTCATGAGACATTTAATAACATAGTAAAATCTAAGAAAATTTTGAGTTTTTGATTTCACAGATGTTATATTTCAGGAGCAATAAGGGTAATACTCCCTAGGTCTTTAGATTATTTATTTGGTGTGGTTTTGGCTGACACAAATAGGAATATAATGTCTGAATTCCTCCACCTTACAGTGGATGTGAGCTTTGAGTAAAACTTGACAGGCAATCAAAACCAATGGGCGCCACACCATTCGCCCTCAGCTAAGCCTCCACAGTAACCCAAGAATCACAGAAAGTGTAACACACACATTCACACTATTGGATCAAGTGAACAGAAATTGAGACCAATTCAGAGAAGATCCTCTGTTGATACTGGTGTGAAATATTATGTTTTGAAATATTATCTTTAGGGTGCCGATTGAAATCGCATCAGTTAGCAGTGTGGAAATACCTCTTGGTATTTCACTGGAGTGTGATGTACTGGAAACAGTAAACAGCACAGCTAAGCTTCATGCTCAGAGCAAGCATGTTTATGGGTGCAGGCCGATCTCAGCACACGAGGCTAATTGAGACAAAAACTCCCAGATGAACCTGCAAAATTCAATCTAGACTGGTAATTCTCTCAATTGAAATATTGAAATAAATAAATATCGATGATTTGTACTTAATGACTTATTTACAGTTCTAAATAACAGAATTTTCAGAAGCACATGTATTATTGGTTTTGCCAAAAGGGAAAAAAGAACGCATTGTTTGAAAACTGAGCAACTGATATAGTTTCAGTTTAGTTTTCACATTAAACATAACAATGTCGTTGTTACCATACCCATTAGCTCCAACCTTCTGTTGGAAAGAAAGAGCAGGCTTTTCCCTACGAAGTCCAGAAATGTCTTTTTTTTTTTTAATTTTTTTTTTTAGTCTAATATGTCTCTTTCTGTGCTACAGTGAATTGGGGGTAATTATAAACTGTATTTGCTATGAAATTTGAAAGTAATTCACTACTGGATAGCAGATCATCACAGAACAATGGAAGGTGGCATCCAGTAAGTGACATTCTGCCAAGGACTAAAAAGAGAATTCCTATATTTCAAGCAAGTGTAGAATTTTTGTCATCAAAGAATTCAGATTTCTGAATAAAATAATTTTTACTCATTTATCACTGTGTTGCTTTCCTTTAATCTTAAAGACTAATTACTATTTTAATCATACGTAGTTGTGGTACGTATGGTGATTTGATCCATGTACTTAATGAGTGCTTATTAAGTTAAAATATTTAACATGTTCACCTCCTTAAATAAAAAAAAAAAAGAAAAAGAAAAAAGAATTCATCACACTTTGTCAGACTGTCTTGGAAAGAGTTGATGTAGAGTGGAAACTTCTGACATAAAATCAACTTTACGCTTTCTCTGTTTCAGTAAAACCCATACCACTTGATTAGGGAATTTCAGCATTTACTACTTGGTTTTGTGAAACTCTAAACGACTGTGCCCTCAAGGATCTTAGTCCAGGGCAGTGGAACAAAGACCTGTCAAAGACTATGCTAAATCAGACCCATCAGCTTATAACTTGTCTACCGTACCACTGCATTTTAACTAACCAATTATTATGTAAAATTCTAGCTCCTTGACACCAAGGACCTGCAGGAGTCATGAACTCTTTGTGATTATAAAAAACCTGGAATCTTCATTAAGGGACACAGAAAGCTAATTAAAAGGAATGTGGATTTTTGAATATTTGATATTCTGTACTTACCAAGTACATCTGGAATGCTAAAAACTGTGGTCTATTCCAGGTCAAAGATATTAAGAATTTCTCCTGGGGCAGTTTTAGCCTTTTGGCTTTGTTTGAGAAGAGGAGTCAGTTATTTATGTAACTCACAGTCTTCTGACATGGAATCGAGGGAAGGAAAAAAATCACTCAGTCTATAATATATGCGTAGATACATTAAGTCTACAGGAACTGAGCAGGAAGCAAATGGGATTTATATTTACACTGCAATGCACTGAGACAGCTCGGATGGAAGATCCTTGTACACAGATTCTAAGTAAACAAGAACCGGTCCTACAATTATCACTTTAGAAAACTAATTAGTTGACTCCTTTATCTTCTTTACACAAAACAGATTTCTCTCAGAACAAAAGCAACAAAGATAGCACTGCAGCCAAGAGGATGACTTTTGGAAAGGAAACAATAGAAATGAATACATACAGAAGACTGATCATTAGGACGAGGTTGCTGGCAAATGAGCCTTGCTTGAAGATGATTTCCCCAACTGGGAGATGGCTGTCCCTGCCTCTTTCGACCATTACTTTCCTATTGGGCTCAAGTTTTATCTACAGCAGGACAGGCGCTGCTCAGGTGGACAGCCTCTGCTGCTTCAGGGCCAGTGTGTGCCTGGAGACTTAGAGTCCCTCCGATGTGTCAGCCACAGTCTGACTGTGAGGTCAGACTGCTGAGGTCCGCCTGGCTTTCTTCTCTCCAGAGACAGGCCTTTCTTGTGTCAGACACTTCCTTTCTTCACTTTGGGATTGAGTTCTTGTTCCCACAGGCTGAGTGTCCAGAAACCATGGCAATGCTATGTCTCTCTCTTTTAAAGCATTCCTGATTTTCTCTGGCAGGGAAAGAAACACTGAGTGAAACTACTGTTGTCTGCCCCTGCCCTTGTTTATGTATGAAGAGAGCTTTCTATAACAGGCCATGATCAAAAGCAAAGGAACCAGAAGTACAAAGTCTCACACCTCTGGATGAAGCCTGGTTAGTTCTCCGCCACTGTCCTCAGCTCCTCATGCTAAAAGTATGAACTGCAGTTATATACCAAAACTTCCTGGACACATTAAATAAATTGTCTGTAACTGTGTATCTGCTGTGGCCCATAAACTAAATTGTCT